AAAATATGTAACCTTTTGGGATGGGCTTTTTTCACTCAGCATAATTCTCTGAAGATTAATTTCTGCACCTATCAATAGTTCATTTCATTTTATTGCTAATTAGTATTCCATGGTATGGATATACCACAGTTTGCTTAACCATTCACCCACTGAAGGTCATCTTGGTTATTTCCAATTTGGGGGCTATTATAAATAATAAATAAAGCTGCTGTAAACATTTAAATACAGTTTGTTGTATAAACATGTTTTTTATTTTTCTGGGATAAATGTCCAGGAGTACAATTGCTGTATTATCTAGTAGTTACAGGTTTAGTTCTTATAAGAAACTGTTAAACTATTTTCATTTGTGGAATAAAAGTGTCTGTACCATTTTACATTCCCAGTGCAATATGAGTTATCAGTCTCTGCACCCTCACTCACCACCATTTGGTATTGGTGCTATTTTTTTAAATGTTAGCTATTACAGAAATATCTGTTCATATCTTTTGATATTTCCTAATTTAATTGTCTGGGTTTTTAGTGTTGAATTTTGAGAATTTTTTAATGCTGTCTAGATACTAGTCTGTCCTTTTTTAGATATGTGATTTGTAACTCTTTTTCTCACTCTGAATCTTGTTATTTCAAGGGTCCTTGCAAAGCAAAAGTTTTCAATTTGGATAAAGTCTAACATTAATTATTTTATTGATTATACTCTTGGTGTCAAAATTAAGGACTCTGCTTAACTCTAAACTCTAAAGATTTTTTCCTAAACTATAAAGATTTTATACAATTTTCCCTGTTTGTTGAAAGGACCTTTCCTTTATTAAATTGCTTTTGTATATTTGTCAAAAATCAGTAGGGCATATTTGTATGGGTCTGTTTCTGGGTCTATATTTCTATAGCTATGTAAGTCTGGAAATTGTGTAAACTAATTTCTCTCACTTGATTATTCTTTTCAAAATTATTTTTACTATTCTAGTTCCTTTGCCATTCTATTAATACATAAATCTATAATTTAAAAAAGCACAAAATGCTAATTAGACCGGACAGCCGGACGTCCTTCTAGATGACCTTCCAGACAAAGCCAGGGCTGTGAGGGCCAAGGCAAACCGCTGTGGCTTCAAGGGCCGAGCCTCTTGGATAAATTTCATGTATCAGGCCTCTAGTTTTATAATAATTGTATACATCTAGAGAAAATCTTGCTGGGATTTTGCTAGAAATTGTGTTAAACCTGTATATCATTTTAAGGAGAACTTGTATCTTTACTATGATTCATTGTCCAACTTAGTAACATGGTATATCTTTCCACTTATTTAGGTCTTCTTTGGTTTATTTGGTTTATTTTTGTTTTTTGTGGTCTTCAGCATGCAATCAAAAATAGTTACATGTTTTATTAAATTTACACCTAAGTATTTTGGGAGTTTTTCAGCAATTATAAATGGCACTGTATTTTTTTTAAAATAAATCTTTATTGATTTCAGGGAGGAAGGGAGAGGGAGAGAGAGGTAAGGATATCAATGATGAGAGAGAATCATTGATTGGCTGCTTTCTGCACCATTGGGGATTGAGCCTGCAACCTGGGCATATGATATGCCCTGACTGGGAATCAAACTGACCTCCTGGTTCATAGGTCAACACTCGGCTACTGAGCCACCTAGGCCAGGTGGCACTATATTTTTATTTTATTTATTTTTTGTTCACATGCTCATTTCTAATATATAGAAATAAAATTGGGTTTTTGCATGTTTATCTTTTATTCTGCAACTTTGCTGATCCTCTTATTAGTTTTAGCAGAGGATTTTTTGTTGCTGTTGTTTTAAAAGATTCCTTGAGATTTTCTATGAAAACAGTATGTCATCTGCAAATAGGAATAGCTTGATTTCTTCTTTCTGATTATATGCCTTTTATTTCACTTTCTTGTCTTATTGCCTTGGTTAAAAGTTCCCACACTATGTGGAATAATATTGATCAGAGTCGCTATCTTGTTCTCACACTGGGAAAAGCATTTGATCTTGCATTATAAAGTATGTTTGTTGTAGGGTTTTTTACATGCTACTTATCAATTTCAATTTTCTTAAATTTGTTGTTTTACTTCCTATAATATGATTTATACTGGTATATGTTCCATAACATTTGAAAAGAATATGTATTCCACTCTTGAATGGAGTGATCTATAAAATGTTTATCAGATCCTGTTGGTTACTGTTGTCACTCAATTATTCTATATATCCTTGCTGATTTTCTTTCTAGTTATTCTCTCAATTTCTGAGAGGACTGTTGAAGTTTGCCACTTAATCATAAGTTTGTTTATTCTTTCATTTTTATCAGGTTTGTTTGTTGTTGTTTTGCTTCTCATATTTTGTAGCTCTGTTGTTTGATGCATATGCATTTAAGATTGCTGTGTCATCTCGGCAAATTCACCCTTTGTCATTATATAATGTCCTCTTTTTCTGGTAATTTTATTTGCTTTTAAGTCTGCTTTTTTTAAATCCATTTTACCAGATACTAACATATCTATTCCTGCTTTCTTTTGATCAGTATTTGTATGTTATATTTTTTTTCTTCATTTTGTTTTCAACTTGCCTATATTGTTGTATTTGAGGTAAGTTTTTTGTAGCTAGTACATAGTTAGTTCATCTGTTTTTATCCACTGTTTCATTCTCTGCCTTTAAATTGGTGTGGTTAAACCATTTACATTATTATAATTATGGATATGTTAGCGTTTAAATCTACCATATTATTTTGTTTGGGTTTTTTTTTTTTTTTCTGTTTGTTTGCTGTGTTTTGTTTCTCTATTTTCTCTTTCCTAATGTCAGTGGGTTACTTGAACTATTGACAATTCTACTTTATTTTATCTTTCTGTTTTTGAGTATATCTTTCGAAAGCTTTCTTAGTGATTGCTAAAACTATTAGTGTGGGTGTGATCTTGTTACCATTGGGCAGCATGAGAAGTCCTGACTTTATAGGACTCTGATATTATCCTAGTGGGGAGTGAGAGGTGCATTCCATTGCTGCCAGGAGGAGGAGGAAGTCCAGGCTCACCGTGTGGTCTCCATTAATACTACAGCAGTGATGGTGGTGATGAGAGGAGGGAACATGGGTTTGTTACCACTTCTGGGATGCAAATACCTTCAGGCACCCACTCCCACTCAATAGGCAATGGAGGAGTTAGGGAGTCTCATTACAGCTTTGCAAGGATGAAAATCTACTATCCCCTCTCAGCGTTTGCTGGTGGTGATTAGGCCAGTTTTGTGTGGTGTTGGCTGGAGTCAAGTGATTATTGTCTAAAAGTTTTCAGTCTTACTAGGCTGCCCCTTTCCTGGTTACTTTGTTAAATAGAGAAGATATTTATTGGGGCCTTTTTTATCTGGTCCAAAATTGGCATTTTCAAGTTGATGCTCCTTAAAATCCAAGTCTGAGATAATGAGGCAAAAAGAAAATCTAAGGAGCTCACCTTTATGTTATTCGTTGGGCCCCAGAATCCCTCGCCAGTGTGCCTTCTTCCCTCTACCTTTCAGATACTTCTTATGTTTGTTTTATATATAAGGCTCAGGATTTTAAGCTGTACTTAGCAGGAGGAATCAGGAAAAATATGATTATTAATACTTTCTGCCCAAAGGAAAAAATTCTATAAATACTTTTACGGTAATACCAATTTAATCACTCATTGAAAATTCCCTGTTAATTCTCTACCCATCCACTGCTCACTCACATCCATTTGCAGCTTTTTCACATTTTGTGTCCCTCAGACCTGATTGATTATCATGTGTGAATTTTTTTTTGAAAATTTTATTTTGTTTTTAATTTTTGGGGTAGAATTCTTTTTCGTGCTATACAGTTGAAAGTATGTGTATAAATCAGGGTTCTCCAGAAAAACAGAAACATACATCTATATATCTATACATGTATATAGTTGGATATAGATATAAAATAAGGATTTTGGCTCATGCAATTATGGAGGCTGACAAGTCTCAGTATCTGCAAGATGAACTGGCAAGCTTGAGACCTGGAGAGCCTATGGTTTAGTTCCAGTCTGAGTCTGACCTGCTCCAGATTCAGGAAGAGCCCATGTTCAGTTCAAGTCCAAAGGCAGAAAATATCCTCTTACTCAGAGGAGGGCTAGTCTGTTCAGTCCTTCATCTGGTTGGATATCTGAGACCAACCACATTAAGGATAGCAATCTGTTTTATTCAGTATGCCCATTCAAATGTTACTTCATTGAGAAACACCCTTACAGAAATACCCAGAATAATGTTTGACCAAATATGTAGGCACCTTGTAGCTCAGTCAAGTTGACACAAAATTAGTCATTATGGCATGCAAACTTTAAATGCTTGAGACTTCCAGATGGGTTAATTTGGACCTAAATCTAAATTCTGACCACGGTTTTCTCACAAATTCATATTTTGAGCTGACTGAGATATATATAGAGAGAAACTCAAAGGGAATGAGTAAAACCTTTCAAAGTTTCCAAATGTCTCTTTAAAGTAACTGCAATAATCGGGAAGGCTGTATGGCATTGAGGAAGGTAGGAAACTTAGGGTTGCTATACTTCTTTAAGAGAACTTTATAAACAGGAAAAACATTAAAACTTTTATTTTTTCTGATTCTTAGAGTAAGACTTTATCTTTTCCATTATTGAAGTATTTTAAAAACTCAAAATAAGAATTTCCCATAACCTATAATTCCTTCTAAGTAGCAGTAGCTTTTTTTAATCTAAATAAGGAGTGTACTATCTGTAAAATCAGTGTGAGTATGTGTTCCTTAATTAAACATCCTCTAATGTTAGACATCTGGGTAATCTTCAGTGTTGCAGCTTTATAGAAATAAGACTTCCAACTTGGTGCTGAAATTTCCAGCTTCATTTTGGGTCATTTCCTTAAATGCATCTTCCTAGAGGTGGAATTGCTAAGTCAAGGGATAGACCCTTCTAGAAAGGTTACATACTGAAATCATAGCAGTCATAGCAATTGGGGGGTAGGTGAGAGGCTTTTCTGATTTTTAAACTTTATATTTTCTAGAAGCATCAGATGGTGAAGGAGGGGGAGACGTAGAAATGAAGCAGCAGGAGGCAGCTCCAGTTCCTGTCCCGTCGAAGAAAACCAAACAGGTGACAGTCACTGTGGGAAAGGCACAGATGTTGGATTCTGCAGTCATCCTCTTCCACCCTGTACCGTATTCCCTGTGCCCTACGAGCAGCTGTGGCCAGATTTTAGGGAAGTTTTTACCTTCTCTGCTTTGAAAGACCCATGCTGCATTAATTATCAACAAACAAGGCCTATTTTCCCCCTAATATTTTTGACATATAAATATATTTTACAATAATGGTATCTTAAATTTCTGTATTATATTTTCACCAAATATCCAGTCTTATTGTTTTAGGTACAGTTCCCAACACGTGATTGCAGCACCATGCTATGTTGCCAGCAGGCTCCAGAGCCATATGTTACCCAGCATTATGGTCCGTTGTATGAATTCTTATCGCAATGTTTGCTGCCTTCAGAGTAGACAGTTGATAAATTCAGTGGGCATTTGATAAACTTTGTTTCTAATGCCTATGACCTTTTGTTTCTTTTTAATCTTCACATTGTCAAATCACATCCATTTGCATCTTTTTCACATTATGTGACCCTCAAACCTGATTGATTACCATGTGTGTGTTGTTGTTGTTTTTGAAATTGTAGCCTTTGTTGAAAAAAAAAAAAAAGTCTATTTTGTCTGGTACAAGTATTGCTACCTTAGCTCTGTTTGTTTCTATTTTCATGAAATATCTTTTTCCTGGGCCAGGGATTCTGGTGTGAGGCTGGGACCCCTGGCTCTCTGAGGGACCTCTACAGCCGAGATATTTTTAACCACCTCACATAGGTGTGGGACCAGCCTGTTGGCATCTCCGCCTCTCCTACCAGTCTCAGTTGCTTCCTCTTTATATCCTCAGTCCTATAGGACATCAGTTCAGCTAGATTTCAAGGGGTTCTGAATTATGATTGCTCTGTAGTTGGGTTGCAATTTTAATATGATTGTGGGAGGATTTTATGCCTCCATCTTGACTAGAAACTCCTTATGTCTGATTTTTAAAGGACTATCTAGTGTCAATCCAAATTTATCATCTTTGTAATAATGGTTTGTAGTCTTATTGTAAGTGGCCCTAAACTCTTTCCAATGGAGGGTGACTCTACTCAAATTTTGTGAACAGTTGGTGGAGCAGATTTTCATTACTACCTATGAGCTGTGACACCTTAAACAAGTTAAACTCTCTGAGCATCAATTTCCTTATTGGAAAAATTATGGTTGTAATTGTGTTTTCCTCACAAAATTGCAATGGGTACTAAATGACTAATACTTGTAAAGCACTTTCAATAATGGTAGACAAAAAGAGTAAACACTGAAGTGTTAATAATTATAGTGAAAAATATACTTCAGATTTCTTTTATTTTGTTCATTATTTTTGATCTGTGTAAAGAGGAAAGCAGAGAGATATTTCTTATATATATATATATTTTAAATATATTTTTATTGTTTACTTTTTTTAATTTCTTTATTGATTATGGTATCACATAATTGTCCTCATCCCTCCATTCACATCCCAAACCCCTTCCCACGTATTTCTACCCCCCAAACCCCCAACCCCGTTGTCCATGACCACTGGCTAGGCTTATATGCATGCACACAAGTCCTTTGGTTGATCTCTTCCCCTTGCCCCCACCCTCCCCTACCTTCCCTCTGAGGTTTGACAGTCTGATCGCTGCTTCTCTGTCTCCTGGTCTGTTTCTGTTCATCAATTTATGTTGTTCATTATTTCCCTAGATGCATTAGATACAAGGAATTCCCTTATAAGAACCGAAATTGAGACAAGCCAATGGTTATGCTGAGAGGCAAATGAATCAGTCTATAGTGAGTTCCTTTCTGGGCAAAGAATTCTTTTTGAGTCCCAATTTCAATGCCAAACAATTTCTTATGTGTACATGTCAGCCATGGTATTTCAGATCTGGTTGGTTGACAAATGGTGTTGATGCAGGTCCGACAGTCTCTGGTTTAGTCCTAGGCATCCTTCAGCGACACACAGCTGCTCTCTGCTAGTATGGCAAGGCATTGTCAGCGTCTTCCATCTCTGGACTGTTTCTCTTCTGTCTTCATGGCTGGGGCACTCCTGTCAATTCCTCTCTGTTGCAGGAATCCACATGGTCTTGGAGTTGTTTTCTGAAAATATACATTTTTATTAGCTTTCTCCTCTGCCATCAAATATTTTGCTCAAAGGCCCTATATCGGTTCTAGTTTTAACCATCCTTTCAAAGACCTATAGTTAACCGCCTTAGTTTTCAATTTATTTCACCAAGGTATGGTTTGATTTTACCTTAACTTATTCCATTGACCACACCAGAGTCATGCCTTCTTTGACCTACCTGCAGAACTCGGTTCTTAATAATTTCTTCATACCCGATTGGCTTCCTTTTCCCTTACTTTCTGCCTTACTCACACAATCCTCACAGCTGCCCTTTGAAGTACAGGGTATCCTATTTCACAAATTACCTGAGGTTCAGAGTGATGGGTTCTGGGGGTCATGGCCACTTGGGTGGGTGCGAACAAGTGCTAGAGATCTATTTCCACTTCTCTTTTCATCTATGTTTCCTCTTTCAACTTGGAAACACTGGATTCACCATGTCTTTATGTGCTTTGTTGATCACGTGCCATTGCTGTTTTTTGCTAAGAAAAAAAAAATTATGATTTTTATGGCCCATTTTATTCATCTCCCTCTTGCTTTAGTTTCTTTTACTATCAAATTGCTTTACAGAGTTCAAGTACTAGGTAGACAAATGCCCTAAACTCTTCCTCCAAGCCTCTCATTTCCCTGTCAGAGAATTTACACAGGACTCTCCTGGGTTCCTCTTCCTCTTAAGTGTTATCCGTCTAGCTCCCTGGTCTCCCCGACCAAGCTACACACCTGGAGGACAGAGTTTATATCCATACACCTGGTATAGAATTGTGCCCCTAATTGGCACTCATTATTTGTGAAATGAAGGATTGGGTGACTATAGCAATATTCCAGTTTTTCTTACCACTCTTTCCATCTCAACCCTCTGGATCCCAGCGTGTGAGTCATCAGCTCCCTGACCCTGCTGCCTGCTGAGTCTTTTGGACCCTGGATATAAAGTATCCCTCCTCTAGCCCCTCCTTGAAAGGTTTTTCCATCTGAACAATCAGAGCTGGACTCTGCCTCCACCCCACCTGACTGCCCTCTGGATCCTCTGGGGGCTCCCTATCCTCTCTCTAGCTGCTCTCCTCCCTCTGGACCCATCATCACACCAAGGATGACCTTCTTGTCAGGCAGACTGTCCTTTCTTAAGTCTTCCTCTGGTTGTTTATACACAAAGAGCTTGAGTCTCCAACTAGTTAATAAGCTCCTTGGGGGCCAGGGTTCTTTTGTGTTCACTGCAGTACCTAACACAGTGCTAGGCAATTGACTCATTTGGTAGATATGACTGGATATTTATTCTCTAATACCGGTACAAATTACATTTTTTTTCTGAATAAAAAATTTTATTTTTATGCTTTATATAAATTTTTAATTTTTAAAATTAGCTTAGTCACCTCACTGTTTTTTATGGTTTTTGTTTTGGTTTTAAATATATTTTTTATTTATTTCAGAGAGGAAGGGAGAGGAAGAGAGAGATAGAAACACTAATGATGAGAGAGAATCATTGATCAGCTGCCTCCTGCACTCCTCCTACTGGCAATTGAGCCTGCAACCCAGTGATGTGCCCTGACCAGGAATCAAAGGTCAAGAGCTCAACCACTCCTGGTTCATAGGTCCACAGCTCAACCACTGAGCCACACCTGGCCAGGCTGTTCTTTATGTTTTTAGGATTTTTTGTGCTTACATAAGGAACTGGCTGGCATTATGCTGTTATCTATAATATATACTTAGGCTTTAGTTTCACCAGGTGAGAGTGTCTATCAAGTTAGGTAATGTTTCCTCCTGCACCACAGCTAGCCTCATGCCTCTCATCTGTCCAGTATTTCGAGCCCCAGATTTATAATTTTGTAGAACTTTTTTACCCATGCAACTACATCATCTCCAGAAACCATTTCACATCTAATCATCCTTGGCCTCCTTAATAATGTAAGTATAAAGACTTGCCAACAGTTCTTTTTTTTTTTTTTTTCCAGATATTGCTTCCAAAATAAATGATGAATTCCCCTACTGCTAGAGATTGCATCACCCTCTTCCCTCCTCAACCTCAGTGATTTCAGAGCCAGCCCTGGTGACTTTGTAATTATGGTTCCCTTAAGGAATATAATCTCTTCGGAGGGATTTCGTGACTTTTCATTGATGCCTCCATGATGTCAGTAGCCTTTCAGTGGTTCCATGATCCATCCTCTCCCCATCAGAGGCCACACTGGAGTTCTTTTTCTTAAGCCAGCCTTTTATTTATCTCCTTGCTTCATAAAGGAATCCTCAGCAAGAGTACTTATCCCTTCCTGCCTTACTCATCTTTCTCTACTGTTGTATTTTCTTACTGTTTCATTAGTTCAGCATTGGTCATTTTATATCTCTCTCATTCTTTATCTTTGAGATTTCTCTTGATGATTTTAAGTGAAAAGACTGTCCTCACCACTCTCTTATTTACCTTATACCTTTCCATGGTAGTGTCTCAATTCTCTTTATATTCATTTAGTGTGGTATAACAAATTGACCCAAAGTTAGTAGCTTAAAACATTAAAATTCTTTTTTTCCTTTATTGATTAAGGTATTACATATGTGTCCTTACCCCTCATTACCCTTCCCACACCCCCACTTCATGCTCTCAACCCCCCTAGTGTCTGTGTTCATTAATTATGCTTACTTGCATGCATACAAGTCCTTTAGTTGATCTCTCTCCCTTCCCCCCATCCTCCCCAACCCTCCATCTGAGGTTTGATGATCTGATCAATGCTTCTCTGTCTCTGGATCCATAAAAATTCTTTACCTCATAGTTGCTATTCTCTCACAGGCATGACTTAGTTCTGTCCCTCTGGCTCTACACATATCAAATGCCAGACAAGTTGTGGGCAAGGGTTTGGGGGCTTAACCCCCTTGTTGGAAGGCCTAAATCCCTCACCATGTGAGCCTCC